CCCCGCCCCTGCCCTTCCGGCCTCACCCGTGCGCGCCGCCGCGGGCATCGGGCGCCACAGCTTTGCCCGTCGCAGCCTGCCCTGCCCACGCGTCTTAGCCCCGCTCCGGCCCCACACACACCTGCAACGGCCCTGCGGCAGTCAGTCAGCCCGCCGGCCCCGCTTTTCGCCCATCCCTCGCCCGCCCAGGCGCGCCACGCCGAGTACGCCTCCCACTGCGCCGCTTCCATGGGCTTCCTGCTGCCCCACGATGACAGCGTCCAGGACAACTCCCCAGGCAGCCTCCTCTCTAACGGCTGGGCCGCCACCCAGGCCGCCTGGGCGGCGGCGCCCGCGGCCGCGGCCGCCGGCGCGCTCTTCCGCCCTGGCGCGATGCGGCGGCCGGCGCCGGGGTCGGGGCGGCTCGCGGGGGCGGCGGACGCGTTTGAGCGCTGGCCGGTGCTGCGGGGGCTCGGGAACGGCCCGCGAGGCCCGGCTGCGGTCATGCTTGGCAACCTGGTCGCCGCCGCCACGACGGCCCATGGCCCCGACTGGCCAAGCGTGCTCGCACGGCGCAGCCGCGACGTCATCTGCACGCTGCCGCTCCGCGTGTGCCGCTTCGACGCCGCGGCGGGCGCGCTCGGGCTCGGCGCCCCGGCGGGGCTGCGGATGGAAATATTCTGGTCGGCAGGCGGGTTGTGGCCGTCGGTGTCGCTGCAGGACGAGCAGGTGGGCGCCAGCCGCGGCGGCGCGTGGCAGGCGGAATGGACGCACGCGCGCGCGTGGGCATGGTCATGCGTGTGCCGGCATCAACGCTCGCATTTTGACTCGTGTCCAGGGGACCAGGGACGCCGCGGCCCCTAGGGCCCCGTCCATCCCAACGTCTGCGCCTGGCGCCCCTCGGCCACATACATTAGCTCAGCAACGACCCTGTCAAGAGGGCAGACCCTCGAGGCATGCGCAACCTGGGGCTGCACGTGCACGGCGACCCGCCAGACTCCCAATCGACTCGCCAAACAAAACCCGCCCCAAACCGCCCCACCAGGGCTGCGAGCTCGCTGGCGCCCGGCGCGTCAGTGAGGAGTCGCTGCCGCCCCCATACGGCGTCCCCGCCCCACACCCGCACTCCCGGCCCCGCCCTGCCCTCGCGTTCCGCGAGGCGGCCTACGCTGTCACTGCCTACGGCCGCGACTTCCTCACGCTCGTTGGCGCCTGGCGCCCGGCGGTGTGGGCGGCGTGGGCGGACGGCCGGACCCTCGCCCAGACGCCGGGGCGCGTGTCGTTTGCGTTCTATCGCACCGGCCAGCACGGGACTGTGAAGTTCCTGGGGACACCTGCGAGGTGAGCGCCCGCCCTTCCGACTGGCGCACGCAGCACGTACGCGCCGCGGGCCCGCATGGGCGCAATGGTCCTCCGAAGCGGCGCGTCCGGCGGCTGCTTTTGCTGTGCCGCTGGGCACCTCAGGACGCCGCTTGGGACCCTGCAGCCTGGCACGCTCCTGGAGGCCTCTGCGGCCCTCGCAACCCGGCTCGTAAACTGGTTTGGCCGGCCCTCACCACCCATCTCCTCTGGCCGCACACCTCACGCCAGCCCGCCCAGCAATGACCAGGCCAGAGTCAAGGCCATGCAGCTGCACCCCAACTCGAGCTGCAAGGCGCGCAGGCCGTAGGCCACGCTCGCGCCCGCAACACCCTTGCCGCCCCCCGTTCCGCCCAGCGATGCCAAGTGTCTGGGCTGCCTGCTTGCCGCTCGCCCCATGCTGTGCCCCGGCAAGCGCCGCGCTGTGCTTGTCCTTTCGGCTGGGTTGCAACGTCAATCGACGGCGTCATCACTGCCCGACGCGACCCAACGCCCTGCTCCCGCCTCAGGCCGAGTCCATGCCGCGCATCACGCTCGCCATGCAAGGCGGCGCCTGCCTCGCCGCGGGCGCCGCCAGCGGCGCCGACGCGCCCGGCGCGGTCGTGGCGGCCGTGTGCCTGTCGCTGTTGGCCGCAGAGCTCTCTCAGCCCTGCGTAGGCGGCCATGGTGGCAGCACTCTTTACGATGGCGATGACGGGTCCAGTGGCGGCCTGCTCCTGGCCGGCTCGATCGACACGTATCACGGCTGCTGCGGCGGCGCGGGCGGCAGCAGCTGCTACGGGGGCGGCGGCTGCGGGGACGGCGGCAGCTGCGGGGACGGCGGTGATGGGGGTGGCGGGTGCGGTGGGGGTTGCGGCGGGTGAAAGAGGAAGTGAGAGCGATGGCGCCTCATGCCATGACAGTGACAGCGATGCAGGTTTCCCACAGGAGCTTGAGAGGGGTCCTGGCCCCTCAAATTCCACCATCGTCGAACATGTTCGACACAAACACTGCTGCTATCGACTCGCTGACCGATGCGGCCGCCTGCCGCTGCAGTCGCTTGGTGCGGGCTGGCCTGCCGCCGTGTTCAGCACACCGCCCGCCGGCGTGGCAACGCCAACATGGGAGAGTTGTGTGTTTTAGCATACATTGCGGCGCTCGTTGTCACCTGTGCCGTGGCAGGGTGGCATCTGCGCATTATCGGTTGGCGCTGCTGCCCGATGCCTTTGTCCTTGGTACCGCCGCTTGTGCCCCTGCCTCGTACAAAAGTCACCTTGGCAACCACGATCGCCTGCCATCTATCACTTCAATACAATATGGGCAAATGTGCTAACAACATATCATTACGCGAGCCGCTGCTCGACCTTTGACTTGGATTCACTCTATCTGGCTCTGGCTTGGTGAATACGCCTGATGGTGCCACCTCACGCATAACCGCTTGAAGCCGCAGGCTGCTGGGGTCACCCCTTTTGCTCTGCCAGGGTTTCGCTGATTGATCGCGCGGCTTGCGCCATATCATGGTATGAGTCCATGGGACGTACAGGGGCCATTCCACCTGCCATCAAGCGTTTGGCGCAGCGTTTTATGCGGGGATGCTGCATGCTGGTCCTGCGCCCCAGGCCTTCATAATTGCCATGCTTTTGAATGTCAACAAATTAGCAACTGAACGCAGCGGCTTTACGGTTTTATATGGGAAGATCTTGCTGGTTTTACACTATATTTTACATTTTCAAGACTGTACTAAAAGCTCTTGGTGAGCAGGCGAACAGCGCGGCGGCTTCGGCGGCCCTCGCAAGCCAGCACTCCCCTTCAATTTGTGCGGGCTCAACAGCCTGCGTGGTTCCTCTGGTTTCCTGAGTTTCATTTCAACCATTGTACAGTAAGCTGTGTCCAATGACGAGGCCAGATCTATCCCAGGTCGAGCCAGGCCAACTGCCGGCCACCACCTGTGTGCGTGCCCGGGCCTTTGTGCATCCAAGGACTACGCCCATCTGAGTCGAGCGCCGTCAGCTGTTGACAAGTTACGGCTGACGGCGCTCATCACGCGGTCAGGGGGGTGGGACAAAGGGGCCGACATCGCGTGCCTCAAGACTCAGGATCACTGATCTGCGTCTTGCCGCTCTTGTTAGGGGTCGGCTCCCTGGTGATTTCATAGGCTTTTTTCGAGGGCCTTGCTACCGCTGCTTTCCCATGTGGCGCACGTGTGCCAGGAAACAGCTGTGTGGAGGCCCACTTCAGAGACACCCTCGGAAACCACGCCCTTGATGTCCAGCAGTGAGAGCAGCTTCTAAATCAGTGTCACCACGCCGCGCACGGCGGCGCTGCACCGCTGCTGGATGGAGTTTGCGCCTGCTGACCTGTTCACTGATTCACAGACCCACTGCCTCCAGGCGGTACCGTAGCTGCTGCGCCAATGCTCTTCACATAAAAGTAGGTCACAGTGTGGAAGATCCACAATAAGCTTTTTGTTAATTTTAAATTGTTCGTAAGAACAATTTGCCATACACGAAAATCACATCCATTACGTCGTCAGGCGCCGCCGTCGCCGTTTGTGAGGAACGTGATGTTCGCGTTTATCTTCGTATTGCGCATGATGGACCTAGCCTGCTCTGCGCGCTCCTTTGGGGCCCGCCACGCCGCACACGCCAAACCCGCCATGCCTCCTGCCGTCACAGCCTGAGGGGTTACCAACAAAGGATACGGAAGGCCAAACGCGTACGTTGAGGTCGCGTACAAAGGACTGAGCAGGTTGAGATTGCACAAAAGCGGAGCCCACACCCAGAGCCAAACATGTCCCACTTGATCAGCGCCCTTGCCTTGCACGCACTTGCACCCACGTGTGTGTCCCACTTACTGCACTGGTCCCGATCACGACTTTGAACCAGGGGACGCTTTTCAGCCTTCTCAGCAGGCTCAAGCTCTTGTTGGGCGGGGGCACGCCGCCCGCGCTGTTCATGGTGCACTTGCAGGAGCGCCGAAGAGCTTGCGGTCTGGCGGCACCAAGGCAGTTGAGGGAGGGAGCGAGGGTCGCAGCTTGAGCTCTCCGGAGTGAGTGCCGGCGTTGTGCGCGCGCGGGTGCAGAGAGTGGCCATCGCTGCGTGCTAATCCTGCCCCCACAGGGTGTAGGTCCAGGACACGCAGAGGCACACCAAGGTTCCAGTTTATTGTCCATGCTCAAAGCATGACACAATGCACGCATGGCTGCGCTGTAAGCGCGCCAATCATCGCATCAAAAATACGCTGAGGACGCCAGCAAGACCACGACAGCAGGCTAGCTGCCCTGTGCTGGCAGGCACAACCCGCCTGCCCTTGACCATCCCCTGAGCCGGGCCACCTGCCTGGATACGGCGGCAGTGCGCGCAGGGTGTGATATGGCAGTAGTACTCGCTCTTTAAAGGGTGATGCAAAGATGCTGCCGAACGAATGAGATGGAGAGGAAGAGGGCCGGGGTTGGGTACGAGGAACGCATTCAGGCGAGCTGGGGTGCCAGCAGGAAGGGGCAGTCAATGCTCGCGACTGTCATCAACTGCAACCCGCTGGCCAGACACGGCGCCTGACAGATCCTTGTCTGTGAGAAACCACCATGGCGGGGTCCCAGGAAGGCGAGCCCCACAAGGGAGTGCATCGGTGACAATGCTGGTGCTCTGCTGGGGCCAGCGCACTCACTGTCAGACTCATCAACAGAGGGCGACAGGGGCCCTAGGGACGGCTGCAAGGGGCCTAGAGTCTTTGAACGTACATCTTTATGCCGTCCATGCGCCCCAGTACATACGCCAATGCCCGGGGTAGCACGACGCGTCCGGAGATTTATTTTGTAGAATAACTAGAAAACTTGACATTCGTCGCTACCATGCAGCATATCATCGAGCAATGCTCGCCCTGGCGCTTGGAATAGACGCGCTTTGATCGAGCGCGTCAGGTGTGGACCACTCACGATGTGCGCAGTCCTGAGATGCGCAAAGAAGCTGCGTCACACACCAAGGCCCGGGCACGCACGCAGGAATTTGACCTGCTCTTGTGATCTTACCTAATGCTGGTACAGTAGTGGCAAAAGGCGCTCCTTAGCATCCCCAAGACAGGCTGCTCTCTCAAGACAGGCTGCAGCAATACACGCACGGGGACGGTAGAGCATGCAAGGATCAGCTGCTCGAAGCTGTCAATGCTGGCTAGCGCCGTGCGTTTGATGCGGATGAACAGTAGGTCAGCAGCAACTGGGAATCTCAAAAGCAAAAATTAGGTAACACACAATCCTCTCAACGGCACGCAAGGCAAAACGCTAAATTGGGTCACTATACACTCGTTGCCCCAACAGGACAAGTCCATGTCAAGTGACATCTTGCCCAGCCACGCAACGCATGACGGTGAATTACCATAGGGCACAGCGCGAAGAAGATGCAATATAGAGAGCATGCGTTTATTCGTTCCGGCACACACCATGCTTGCATGTACAGCTCACAAGCGGCGAGCCTTTGCTCTGCAGTAGTGCCACACTGTGTGCGGTAGCGGCAGCAGCGGCGCGCCGCCCTGCCACCCGCCCCCGCGGCATGATGCCAGGCGGGGCGCGGGCAGCTGTGCGCGCTTGTGAGGCTCCAATAAATAACACCCTCACGCGGTAAGGGACGGGACAAAGGAGCTGACACCGCATGCCTCAAAACTCAGCATCACCCATTTGTGCCTTGCTGCTCTTGGTAGCGGCTGGCTCCCCAGTGAATTCCATAGGCTTTCCCTGAAGTCCTTGCTGCCGCTGCTTTCCCATGTGGTGCACGCGTGCCAGGAAAACAGCCGTGTGGAAGCCCACTTGAGGGTACATACGTAGTCCTTGCAAACCATGTCCTCAACAGATGTCCAGCAGTGAGAGCAGCGTCCAAACTATCATAATGCCAGCGACGCACCACGCCGTGCCCACCGCCGCTGCACCGCTGCTGGACAGATCTTCCGTCCGCTGACCTGTTCACTGATTCACAGCACCACTCCCTCTGACAGGCGGTAGCTGCTGCGCCAATGCTCTTCACAAAGAATATGTCAGATGTTGGAACATAGCCAAGCGGAACACTTTACCATACGCAATAACATAGGGGACGGCACACAATCGCGGCCATTCTCGGGAGGAGATCTACGGAATGGGGTCCGTATTGCTAGCACGGCGCTCCAGCGTCCACGGAACACTTGCATGTTGGCAGCGGGGTGGCACGCAAATCATCACAGCTGGGGCTCTGGTGGCCCGCCACAAGCGGCCAGCAGGGCGCGGCTGCGGGCTTCTGCTGGCACCCGCCGCCATGCGACAAGGCAGCAACGGCACCGCTGGCAGCCCTGCCGAGGAGCCAGGGGACTATGTGCTTGGTAACCTGCGTTTCAACACAAAATACGCGGTGATCGGCCACTTTCAGGCCATCCTGTGGCGCCACAAGGAACTGCCTTTTTTTCTCGGTCAGAGTGATGCTGCCATGGTACTGGCGCTGCTGCAGCACCACCCACGGGCGGCGGCCAAGGTGGGGGCGGGGGTCAAGGCAGTGTACGTGCAGCAGGCACCAAGGTCCGTTAACTATACCGGCCAGCGCTGTTTCTGGCTGGAGCGAACGGATGGCACATCCACCGACTTTTCCTACAGAAAGGTGCGCGTGGTGCCGCCAATACCACCAACGAACACCGCCAATGCCACTGAGCCGCCCAGCAGAGCTGCCGCGTGCACTGCGTCAGAAGCGTGTGCTCAGGACACGGCACATACAATGTCGGTCTCTTTATGTGTACCTGCCTTTCCTTGTACGTAACTTTGCCTTTCAACGCTGACAGTGCATTACGGGGTTCATGGAAGGCTCCAACAGTAATTGGCACAGCCCAGCAGCAGCAGCAGCAGCAGCAGCTGCTGCTGCTGCTGTTATTACCGAGTCCGGGTCACGTGAAAGTGATGAGACAGCTGGCTGAGGAGCAGGTGGGCGTTCATGCGACCCAGTGGGCGGAAAACTCCAATTGCAACATTCTATTGTGGACAAGGCTGCTCAGACTTCTCAGTGGTCCTACCTTCCGACCAGACAGTGCCTTAAAACTCTGCTAATTTATTTGGTGACTTGTACCCTTGCAGGTCCGCAGCTTTTGCCGCACAGCTTTTGCGTCTGGAAAGGAGCTGAGGTGCCCCTACACAGGTGATGCACAGTGCAGATTGAGATGCTTGCAAAAACCTGCAGCACAGCGCCCTGCAGGTCCTGCTTGTTTGCAGCACAACGCACCTCACCATACCAACTCATCTGAGGGCTAGGTCACATGTACGCCTAACATGGCGTCACACGCACACACTGCCGCCACGGCTGTCACTACGGTAGGACGCCCAGGAGAGGTGCGGACACCCGACGATAGCCACGTCGACCACGAAGCCCCGCACACCTTCCAAGCTCTGGTGGCGGCTTTTATCGCCAGGTGGCCGCCCGAGGAGGCGCGCGAGCGCCTGTGGCTGCAGCACGACGACGCCAGCCTGCCGGCGTTTGCAGACGAGTCCACTGCTGCTGCACGGTAGGTGCGGCAGCATTTCAGTGGGGCTGGCGCAGGTAGCGCGTCTTGCTCACTTGTGCATCAAGGACGGGAGGATTTCGAGCACGCAGGTAGCCAAATCTTGGTGGTCGGCAATACCTTGCGGTGTGATTATTAGTGTTGTTGTTGATCTATTGAGGAACCAGGTAACCATGCAGGGGCGCAAACTCCTCGTGACCGCCTGAAATGGGCGCAAATCTCTTGCGCAGGTGTGCCTACCGACCACCAGCAGCATGCACGCCTGCAGCTGCTCTCGCCCGCCGGCAACCTTTCTTGTGCACGGCGCGGTGAGCGGGCGCAGGGCGCTGCGGAAGAATGACTCGGTACTCTCTGGAAGGCGACCGCACAGGGTCTGATGCAGCGGCTGTTGTGTCAGGCAACATGTATGCTGTTGTTTTGTGGGAGATTTGATGTGCTGATGCGTGCACGCGCATGTGACAATGCGCGTCCAAGTTGTGCTATGGCTTGGGTCCTACCAACACACGGCTGTTGGTGCTGACCGATCTTGGAGCTGCACGCGCACATGCCCTCACATCATCGTTCTCTGCAGCCCCACCAATGTGAGTCATCTCACAAGGAGTGCGCTACAATGCTCTTCAGCATCATCTGAACCTGCTGTCTTGAGGGATCCAGATATCTTTGTTTGGAACTTGCAACAGCGGCAGCATCGGCAGCATCGTGCGCCTCTGGCTTTTGCTGTAACTGATTGATTTGACACGAACCTCACAAGAAGGCCGATGGTAGCACCATTTGCAACAATTGATTTGCAGCGAAAAGGTCAATGTATGTACACATTGAGGCGCTCGCCTGTGTGCTAAGCGCCAGGCAGACAGAGACATGCCTGAGTGCAGCTGGCCACACCAAGCTGCAGGACGAAAAGGCCGTCCAACAACAACCTTGAAATAGAATGATTACGCAGACTTGTCATGGCAGCAGCAACTCGCTGGTACCAGTCAACTCAAAGGTCCAGATCATCATCTGGGTCCTCATCGCTGTCCGCCTCGCCCTCGCTGTCCCGTGTGTACAATATCTGCCCCAGCCGTGCCCCGCTTGGCGTCCCTCGGCCCGCAACTTCTACAGCCGCTGCCACCGCCGACGAAGCCCTCCCGCCTTCGGCCGCGCCTCCGCCGCGCCGCTGCTGCTCGAACGGCAGGATCACGCTCTCCCGCGCCGCCCGCTCCTCTGCCGACAGCCCCAGACGCATGCTGGCTCCCCCCAGCCGCCGCGCGAGCTCCTCGTCCGCCCCGCCGCCGCCCGCGGCCCTCGCCGTCCCGGCCGCCGCCGCGCCGCCGCCGCCGCCTTGCCCCTGCAGGACTGACGCTGCCGCGGGACCTGATGTTTCACGGCTGACGCTGCCTCCCTTGGCCGCCAGGGCCGTGGCCACGAGCGCGCGCGCATCCGGGGCTGCCAGCGCTTCTGCGGGCGGCGCGTAGGCCTCCACGCTGCCGTCTGCAAGCAGCGAGTAGTATTGCTGCTCGGCCCTCAGCCGCCCCGACCGCCGCTTGGCGGCGAAGCGCAGCCGCCCGTGCGGCGGCGGCCGCGGGCGCGGCAGCGCGTCGGCGGGC